AATCTAACCTTTGTGTAAGTAGGAACGACTCCAAACAAGCTGTAAGAGTTACTCTGTGTTACTAGTATTAATGGAACTGAATTTGGCTCTCCTTGCATGTGCCATTTGGAATAGCTTATTTTCCACATGAGGTTTGGCAGGGATTTCTACACAACAGTTTCCCCCCCCCCAAAGCCAGCCTGCAAATTTCCGAGTCCCTGCTTTGCTGGGACAGCTTTTCAGAACATACCCCAAGCTGAAACCTTCGTTGTACAGGGAGAAGTAGCGACCATAAAAGAGTTTTTGACGGGCGAGTTAATCACACATCCTAATAAAATGTTTCATATCCTCTCTTAATTAATATGTTTTAATAACACATATACAAAAATACTTCTGACCCAGTGTTCAAAGCTGCTCTACTTCAAGGAATTCATCCCCTCCCCCCCTTTTTTAATTCAACGTTTTCTACTGACTAAGAGTCCGTGGGCTTTCAGAAAGTCTGGAATCCATAGCAGTTTCTGCTATAAGGTTTTACATAGTACATAAAATTGTCATTTCCCCCATTGCGCTAGAAGAGAGGAATGTTATTATTCTAGAAGTCGGAATTTTGGTTTTGGTTTCTAACCGTGGTCCAACACAAACGTCTGTGCATTTTGGGAACCTAACCTATTTGAAATGCAACATCCTGAACCTGGAATTAATTGATCACGAAAAGCACAAACAGCTCCTTTTTCATGCTGAAGCAAGTATAGAACCCTTTGACACATTATGGAAAAATAATGCAGTTCTTACCGCTCCTTTTTTTTTTTTTCCGTTTGATTTTTAGGCTTGGACCCCTGCCAGGCACACAATAAACTACTTGGCCTTTAACACAGGCAGGCATGATTCTTCTTCCATACTCTTAACTGGGAACTGACAAAACTCAGTGCGTTACAGATTTGCTTCAATCAAAAGGTTCACAGCTAACGTCCAGAGACAGGATTTCTTATATCTTCAGGTTATTTAGCAACGTACAACTCTGATTTGCGAACGAGAGAGAAAACAGCTCTTAGAACGATTTAACATAAGGTTGGGTATCGGATCCAGCGAAGCTGATGTGGTCGCTGACAGGTGAAACGCCATTCGCAGCGTGGCCCGGGTTACATGCAGTCCTTGAACGTACATAAAAAAGATAAAGTTTCAAGAAGAATTTACAGCCACCCTGACGGAAAAAACTGATGTTTTAAGTAACTGGATTTGTACGAAATCTGTAAGACAATCCAAGTAAATCCTGAAATAAGACGATTAATTCCTCATTATTTAAAAGTCATTCAATACAAGTGCGCACACACACACAGACACGTCCACTAACTTTATGGCTTGACTTGACCACTCCTCCTCTTTTTCTCATGATCTTTTATTAGTCCGTGACTCTAGAGCCCTGAGAGTGCCTCACGCAAAAGCCCTCCAGCTCCCAAGGAGACTGTTTAAGTGCCTGTGGCTTATTGCTTATATACTTCTCTCAAGGTCTGACTAACACTGCTGTATGTGATAATACTATATAAACATATTACAGCTCTTTCTGTGGACCCCAACGCCCTCAGCATTAGGTTTCTATAGAATATTTTCGTGAGTGCTTTCACTAACTGAGGCCCTACTAAGACATGACTATGCAGGCACATACCTCAACTCTGTCCTGAGAGCTGATACTTCCCAACAGACATCCTGGCTGTCCAAACATTTCAGAGCAATCTCATGTTATACTGACAACAACAGGTACTCTTTTTCCTGGACAATATTTACGCTTATCCCCAGCCTGTCCTTTGGTTAACTAGGACTAGCTGGGGCTTGCTCTAAGCCTTGTGATCTACCCTACCAAACGTGGCTTATCATTTATCCCACTTATACACTGGAGGGGGCGGGGGGGGGGGGGGGGCCAAAAACAAACAATAAACCAAAACACAGAGAAATTGGGAAAGAACTTCAAAGGATCTGGCTATATAGCACAGACAGTGCCGTACACACGTGTCTGCTTATGGAAACCCACTAAACTGAATTATTCAGCAACTTCTTACAAAAAATTAAAAAAAAAAAGACTGAGGAAGGGAGAGGAGAATGAAGGCGCAAGAGAGCAAAATTCGTTCAACAACAGATGAGAAGAACAGAAGAGAACTGGAAACGGACGGGGGGAGGAATGGATGATGAGAGAATAGCAGGCTTATTTGAAATGAATTTTTGACCTTATTTTTAAAACATTTATGGATCCCAATTGCCTGTCATGAGATCATTTTCCCTTACAATGCTGGCTTTTCAGCCGGCTCTGCACTTTAACTTGATTTATCCCACTTTAAAAAAAGTAGCTTGTTAGAAATACCCCTTCTATTAGAAATTCTGTCCCATTACAGTGTCAGCTAAAGGCTGCTTGTCAATGTCAGCTTTATCAGATAGAAATTTGCCTCATGAGTTCTCAGATACTTTTTTGGAGGACAAGACCCAGGGTCCATTTCTGAGGCTGCTGATTTGCCATGGATAGTGTCTTCTCAAATTATCCTCTGTTATTTCCCAACCTATCTGCATCTTTCATGAGATGGTGGGTTAGTGATTACAGCAGCTGCTGTACATTAGAAAGACATCTTAAAGCAAAGCTGGCTTAGGTAAAACAGCTGACTGACAAAAGCACAGAAAGAACTAATCGAGTATTAAAAACACATAGGGAGACACAGCATCTCCTTTCCAGCTGCAGCTTCCCTGGTGACATAACCTCTTGTGGGAAGCAAGAAAGCTTATACCAGAAGGTTTTCCTCCTCCTCAGCTGTCTGCTCGCTCTTTACAAGAGAGACCTGACATCCTAGAGATTAGAACAAGTTTTTATTTATTTACAATTATGCAAATTAGTCATCAGCATGTCTCTTCACTGATGAGTAAAGGTGGAGAAAATCAGCTGTTGTTCAATCTGTGTTACCACACTACTGCTAAGGGTCAGCAGTCTGAGGTGGGAAACACGATATTAGTTACAAAATGTCTGGAGGACTCTCCTGGCAAGATGCTTTTCAGGCGTTTGTTTTCTTTTTAATATTTTGATTCTATTTTTGTTTCTTCTTCTTCCTTTGAATGTATGAACGTACGACATATATTTTGAAAGTGAAACCACGGGTGAGAGTAAAGCTCAAGAACTTCCAGACAGGAGCCAAAAGAGAGCGAGTTGTGGCCCCACTGCTGTCCAGACCAAAGCAAGGCTGGATGGATCAGTGGATGCACCCTGATTTTGTTGCAGTGAGAGACCAGGAGTCTTTGATATTTGCAACCCGCTTCAACAGGAGGAACTGTTGCAGCAACAAGCTTCAGAGGTAGACTCCGAGTTTAAAGCAGATTGCCATTCCTCACAACAAAAATGTTTAAAAATATTCTGCATTTGAAGGAGAAATCAAAACAATGCTGGTGCCGCTCCTATTAATCAGTTCAAGATTGGGAGATTCAAAGCATTCTTTCAGGTGCTCTGATTAAGGACAACTTACCTCATAGGAAAAGCAAAGCTTTGGAAACCAGTAATCTCTGGGCATTATACCTAATAGAAGAGGCTTAAAAAGGATTAGCTACAAGGAGCCTTTGTGAATCTGAGGAAACTACACTGGACCACAAATCTGCACATCCTCTGAGAGTTAATAAAGCTTTATCAGTTTCAGATAAGAAGTAGAAATCCTCAGGTTGATGAAGATGTACCACTGGGCAGGTCCGGGGTCCCTGTCAGGGCATTTAATATGCCGTAAGATTTGATTCAAGAGACAGACGCATTTGATGCACACTCTAATTTTAGTCTGCAATAGCCATTCCGAAGAAGAAAGGCAACTGCACAGATTCCCAAATTTGGGTCACAAATTTCAAGGCAGCAGATTGAAGTTAACTGCTCTACGGAAAGAGTTATTTTGCTGAAGGTGATATTTTCAGTAATTAAAAACAGAGTAACATATACAAAAACATTTTAGGTGTTAATGAACAAATATATATGCTAATTTATGTAAAAACATCATTTAAAACTGCATCTCTCTGTGGTTGCAAATAAGGTCTAGTCTCACATAAATATTTTTTTTGACCATCAATCCCAGTCACTAAAGATTTGACTTCATCATTTGCACTGATAGCTTGGAGGGCATTCAAAGCAACGGTGATGCTAGTACAAACCTCAAATCTATTTTGATTCTAAAGATTTTAACGCAGTTCTATCTGTTTGTCTCTCCTTTAACTAACGTTTTAAATATAGCATAAATGGCATCATGTCAGAGTTACATTTTGGAACGCTCATTGCTTATATTTACTTCTGAAGAGACAGAGCCAAGCCCTGAAATCTTGCTAAGGTGAAGCAGCTCCCGAGTGCCACAACTTGATCAGATGCTCTTGATTTTATCGCTGGTTCTACCATGTACTGCCCAAAGACTGCATGTCTCTGTGTCCTGTGACTCCTAGATATACAATAGGGAATACAGCATGTCTCTAGCAGTTCTATACCACTGGTAAAACATTTTAAGATCCTTTGATGGAAGAGAAGCAAAATACTCCATTTTTCACTTCATAGAAGCGACTGAGGACGTACCATGGCCAGATTGCTATAGGCCTGTGTGCCGAAGGAAGGGCAGAGGCAGACATGCTTACATTTCCTTCCTCTCACTTTACAGCTAAGCACAGTGAGAGTCTGTTCTTCTAATGCTCTCATTAAACCCAGAGGG